TTAGGAATTCCTAAATGGAGTCAATTTGTGTAGTTTTCTTGATTTATTCTGCAGATATCGGTAAAATGTAGGTAAGGCTTTGGCGAAATTCGAAGGAGCAACTAATATTCTTCAACCTGGTATTTTTTTTAGATTTTATTTTTTATTTTTTTCGTCTGTTTTTTCGAGTTTAAAAAATGTGAGCTGGCTGAAGTCTTCATCCCTTGTCTATTTCTTACACTAGATACCAGCCGATAACCCCCTCCCCCGCTCATAGAGACTGCGTATTACAGTTGATTATAGTTCCTCGGCTCCCTGTGGCCTGTCCCGTCTCCTTTTCTGCGCATGCCTACTGCGCATGCATCACGTTACCCGTCACGCGGGAAAGGCAAATCCTCTCCCAAAGCACAGTTGACAGATTTCAAATAAAACACACTCAAATGTGAAAGATATTAAAAAATGAAAATTACAAGCAGATAAACGATACTGTTCATAGTAAAAATACAATACACGAAAAGTACGTCCAGACAATGACGTCATAGTTATTCTTAGGCACTCTCGCTCACAAGCAAGGGCCGTACCAGTGTTTCAATCGGAGTACTGACCGTGCAAAACACTTGGTTACATCTATATGGTGAGCATACGCACAAATCCTTGCGACAAGTCTACAAATCAAGGTGGTTGGCTACCTTGGATGTTCAGATTTCCTTGGTGATTTTATGCTGTTCTTGCTGTTCAAACCATAGATAAGAATTTATAGTCACCAAACTACTTTTTGCACAAAATACAGGTCAAATAATTACAGCATTCACATAATAACACGCAACACAAGACTTGAACTCGTTCGTAAGGCCAACGCGCTAACCAAACGACCATCGCCCAAAACGGCCTGTAGTAGCCACCACAGCGACTAGATGGGAATACGCAATCCGAAACACGGGCAACACAAATGTATAGTATTTTAACTATACATATAGAAAACCTGGTATTCATGATACAATAAGAACCACTATGTTTATGATTATCCGCAGGGACAAATATTGTCAACCACAAGAGATAATCGGCTGAGGAAATGTAAAAGACAGGCGTAACAAAGCGCAACACAAGATTCGAACTCGTGCATATGGCGTAGCGACTCGGAGCTAACAATCACGAAAATTGTTATTTATGGGATTTCCCAAAATAATAAAAATACATTACGCCGACAAATGAGGCAATTTTTTTCCAAGGCAGAATGTTTTTTTTTATAGAATGTGTTATCAGAGACGTATTCGTTAATTTTGTCACAAGCACAACATCCGGCGCCGTACAGAAAGTTAATTATATGACAACGTTACCCGGGCTGAAGACGATAACGACGTTACCCGGTATGGCTGTGAGCTGTTTTTCACAAAGGAAATGTGTACTAACTGCATGTTATTACAGTTGTTCTTCTTTAAATAATGTATTTAAAATTGAATTTTAACTGCATTCACTGCGTTGAAAGCATTGCGGGTGCTAATGTGAATATCGGTAGGTGATGCAACATCGATGGATGCCTTTCACACAGAAACACATAAAGTTCTTGGTCGCTTTAATGAAAAAATCACCCGATACACTGAGCACACGTTAACTGTATTGCGGACGCCTGTGTTAATAGGACCGACTGTTTTACGGCATTATCCAGACCCGGTCACTAAAACTGAAAAACAAGACACACGTGAACGTTAGTGGCGCTGTTCTGTTATTTCATAAAACATAAATACCATAAGTAAATAAACATTACCAATAACGTATATTACCCCCACATCCGCGAAGCGGAAAGGAGTCTCGCCTAATTTGAATAACTATTTCATCTTACCTCAAATTATTATGGTGTTATTCCTGTTCTTAGTTCCACATTTCAACGCGACATTGTGAACACGCAACAACTCTATGCTGGCGTTGGGCGGAAACAATTTCGTTTGGTATGATTGTCCCTTTAAGATAATGCGTATATTAAACAGTTAAATAGAATGGTGTAATGAGACGTCAAGTACAAGTACTAAGTTGTTGACAACAAACATTTATGTTGCGTATACCAAAAAAATACCAATCTTGGGTTATGTTTGAAGGTTCACGAGAAAAGTGGGTTACTATAGAGGGCGCATTTGTTTTCGATAAATGGTGATTTTTTTTTCTTTTATTGGCGTCACAAATATTTTGCTACAGAGTAAAGTCATCTTAATTCTAATGTGGAAAAGTAACTGTTGTCCTGAGTACAGGACAATCAACTAAGCTACCCCTCAAAATGTTTCTAATACAGTTGTCACCAGTCTAAAATACACTTAAGGTTGTATGCGCGGAAATGCACT